AACATAACTGAAAAAAATGTCAAAACTATTTCATCCTCATGAAATTTTTTTTGAAACACTCATAGACTCTGATTCAAAGCATTTCCACAGAATGTTCCGAGAATTCATTTTCTTCCCTTAGACAACTAGAAGACTGGAGACAAGGAATTTTTTTTCTGTACGGTTATAATTACAATATGGATAAAGTTGGGAATCCTTCAGGTCCAGAACGTGAAATCCTTCAAGTCCAGAGTGAAACAATGTGAATATACTGGGTCCTTTCCACCATACACAACAAAGATGTAGACTTAATAATTAAAAGATTAAATATAAATGTATTGGGTTAATGTTGAGGTATCAAGTCAAACGGTTAATGATGAATAAACCCTATGAATACCATCTAATCAGTCTTTAGTAATTAAGAAATGATACAGGAAGTATATTACATTTCTTTTACGTACAGGGAACAGTTGCCATTACACATAACAGCAAATCTCTTTTGGTAAGACGCATTCTTACAATAATTTGCTTTTTGAGGAACTTGTAATACATTTGAAAAGCGTTTTATTCTTTCAAATTACACTCTTCGTTATCTTTCTTTGAAAAATTGCTTCATTGAATACTGTTGGTTATTTCCATATCCTTCTTCAAATTCATATATTAGTTTTTACTATTTTAAATGTGTAATTCTTGATATTATTTGGAAGTAGTGATGAAGTAAGCTTGTAGCTGCTGATTCATACAACACACAAACACATCGAATACAAATGTTAAAAATGCTTAATTTTTAATCAGCGTTAATATAATATATCTAATTTTCATTAACCGTTAGTATTTGTTCTAAACGAATTTAAAACGAGAAAATGAAAAACAAAAGAAGTTATTTTAACATTATTATGCTAATAATACTGAACACGTAATAGAAAAATAATTAAACCTATCATATGAACACGTAACAGAGCAATAATTATACTAATCATAGTCAAAATATAATCAAACAATAATTAAACTGATCATAATCAACACGTAACAAAACAATATTTGTACTAATCATTATCAACATAAACAATACTTATACTTATAATACTTACACGTAACAAAACAATAATTATACTAGTCATACTACTCAACACTTGACAAAACAATAATTATACTAGTCATACTCATAACGTAATTAAACAATAATTATACAAATCATACTCAACACGTAACAAAACAATAATTAAACTAGGCATACTCAACACGTAACAAAACAAAAATTATACTAATCATAATGAACATGTCACAAAACAATAATTATATTAATCATACTCAACATGTAAAAAAACAATAACTATACAAATCATAAACAGATTATATCCAAGAAATAATGAGAAATGCGCAAAATCAAATCTACGCTAACTCGTTCAAGCATCATTTCGGCCAAATATTGTACACGCTTAATATAATACTTTTACAGAATTCTACTTGCCTATACAATATGACGTTATAGTAAGCTTTATGACCTGAACATAAGAAATAACGATTTCTTAGAATCTTTATTTAAGATAGATCGTGGGTTTACTTTCAGCCTGAAAACAAGCTAAAAAATTGTCAGCTAACTTCTCTCGTTTAAAATTTTCTTTCTGAATGTTTTTTTAGATTCGTCTGCGAGGTTAAATTGTTATCATTATTTAAATGCGCTAATGTTGATGATAATAGGTGACACTTATTCAATGAAATATATAATAAAATGCCCTTTTTCTGCCGGTATGCGCATTTCAAATCCATGGTCATAACATTAAAACTAAGCTGACAAATTTTATATTACTTGAGACAATGAATGTAAAGTAAATATAAAATCGTTCTATCAAAAAACTAAATGTGCTCTTGATAAATTTCTTGCAAAAACCTGTATAGATCGGGAGCCAAGCACACGGGGCGATTGCTCCATATAAATACAGAATTAGTTTATAAGTGGGCGCAAAGAGTACCCATGAAAATTCAAATCTATTGTTTGAAAACGTATTGTTAATCAGAAACTCTGCATCTTTTTGAGATCAACTTCGCAACACTTTTGTATAAAATTAGAATGTTTTTGACAAAGTAACTTTGCACATTACCAATGACAAGCTGCGTAGATTTTACGATTTTACGAGTGTTTTACTCCACAGTAAAAAAGTTACAAAAAGGAGTCTATAACATTAAAATATACAATTTTTCAACTTTTTACAACCCTATTCTCCGATTGCTATGGTGCTATAATCTTGTTTCATCAACTTGTTAGTCAATAATTTACATCCTTTCAAATTGAACATACGTAGAGCATGCCCTTGCGTATAGAGCAGGGTTATCCAAACTTGAAAATTTAACCATGGAGGAAGCTATGCGAAATCAGACCATAAGCACGAATATATAGGATTTCCTAACCTTCATTAATCAATGATTGGTCTCACTGCTTTCACAAAACTTAAATAAACACAAAAGATTGAAATAACTAATAATTCTAAAGCTAAAAAAAGTATAAATAAGAAAATTTACATTTTCAAATATTTTCCTTTGATAAACCTATTGAAGAGAAAATATGTTCTATTCTGTATGAACTTTATTTGGGGGTCAAAGGTGATAACGCGACTGTTTTTAAGAATCATAGAGCGAGTGATGTTAATCGAACATGGATACTTAAAAATTCCTCGGAACTTTTGAACATCTTAGTGAGAAGTAAAGAAAGAAGCTTGGTTGAACATTTTCTTGAATCCGCTATGTGTCTTTATTGTTAAAGATTCTTATGAAGTTTCGTAATCCGATATAGGTGTGGTAATACAGTTCCATTTAGATGTTTGGTGTATTAAAAATATTCAAAACTGACGTATGATTTTGAAGAATTTCTTCCTTAGAGAAGGAACCATGAGATTGGTTGGATTACAATATTATAATTAAATCTAAGTTCTTCTGAAATACAATTTATATAATGAGCCTTACAAACGAAGACAATGTTGATAAATGCTTTGTAGGTACTAAATTTTGTAATCAATCTATCTTTTACTTATAGATTATTCAATACAGAAGTATAGATGATTTTCATATTGCCCCTCAAACTTTTAATACATGATTGTAAGTAACATAAATGTAGCTCTAGTACGTTTAATCCATTCTGACAAGATGTCAACGTCTTCTTAAATCATACAGTGCCCATCATGAGGCGTTTTCTTTTATAGAATCATAATATTTATGAAATTCCGTGGCCAAAATTTGAGGATGGGGTTCCATATATTTAGGACATTTTAAAATTATTGATCCAAGGTCCTCACAATTAACAATATTTATGTCACCTATACAAACGTTCCAGCAGGACCATTACTATAGGGCGAAGGAGAACATGAATTAGATGGAGGATTATATTTCAGATCTTGGATATCCACACCATGTAAAGTTTTCTTGTACTTAATAAATTTGGAAGCAATAGTCAATGTTTATTTGTAGGATATACAAAGGATAGACTTCTCTTGAAATATGGTGGAATACAAGACTGTACCCAGTGATTAAGAATGTTATTTATATAAGGCGCATAAAATCCTTTTTTTTGGCATATTAGAATTGAAAATGAATTAAGAAATGTTTTAAAATATTGAAATAATAAAAGTCCATAGACATAGCTTTTTTAATGTGTTTTTCTCACACTTTCATATTCTAGTCTGCACAGCAATCTAATACAGGGGTAATGATTGTAATAAAAAGTATGGAGAAAGCGAACATTATTCAAGCTCAATTCATACATCAAACACTACAGAATAGAAGCAGAGCAAACTCAAACCTCAAAAACATCTAAGTTGGGATCAAATACCATGGAGGAGTAAGCATCCCCTGCCGACCCTTCACTTCCTCCATTTGCTCCTTGTCAATATCGAAAATTAACGGAAAAGTCCGTCGTCATTTCAGCTCGTGAATTAAGTTGTTAGTGTATACATACGTGTAATGACGAACACGTTTTTATCAGATTTTAAAATTGCACGTATATATTTTTCCTTACGGAATTTCTACCTTATATAGTTATTATACAGACAATACAATAACGCTTTATCTTTATTATTATTATCTTTCTAGAGAAAATAACAACCGGCTGGTGTACTGAAGGCGTTTAAATCCGCGCCCAGGAATCGCCTTCTTTGTTCATGTACGTACAGTTTCGAAACAAGGCAAGCTTTCAAAAAATATGTTGTGAAACAATTAAATCGATACCTCACTTAAAGTCATTATTTTGTAATTTCTATACGAAAAAAATAGTAATTTAGTATACCCATCGGAGCAGAGGTTTTTAAAAAAGAAATAACTCCGAAACATGTCTGCTTCTATGCGCATTTTAAGCATTTTCCTACAAACAAAAAAAAAATGTGCCTAATTAATTCGAAGAATCAGATACATGTAATTGTTTTTTGACTTGCAAATCAAAGAAGCCGAATTTTAATTCATTCAGAGAAAGGTAATGAAGGATAATATTTACATAATTTTAAAATGTCAATGACATGTTACTAAAAACCCACTCTTAAACAGCATGACATAAGAGGACTGAATTTGAATTGGAATTCCGAAGTACATACTCGTATGACATTTCATGTTAAATTCAATAAAATCGATAGTTAACAGTAAAATATAGAGTACGTAACAGCCAATCATATTTCGGGCATTGATTAAAGTTCTGATATTTATATTTGGCAGTTATAGGACCATTCGGCAAAATTTTGCAAATTCACAAGAACGCAGCAGTAAATTTTTAAAAAAAAAAAAACCAAGAAATGAGCAATCTGTATGTTATCACTTTGATTCTCGCCTTCATGGCTTTGTCTGAAGCTACCATTGTTTATCAGAATTTTACCGCGAAACTCGAGTTAAATGATAAAACATCAAACTTCGAGCTTTTAGGGGAACATAATTCTCATTCATTGGCAATGTGTGCTGCGATGTGTCAAGGAGATTGCGTTTTCTTCGGTTTCAACTCGCAAACGAAGAAATGTCGTACACACAAAACGGTTTGCTTGTCTACGATGACTAAGGAGGACGGCTGGAGATACTACTCTCATCAAAGTCATTCACTTCCCGGTTGTATGTATAACTGTTATTATTTCAATATTGTATTTATAATTATTTAATCGTTAAATTGTTATTTAATCCCCCCTTTATGTACAATTATTTTTCTTCCCCGTTGTATGTATGATTGTTATCTATTTACCCATAGTATGTTTAACGGTTATTTTTTTCTGTCTGTTTGCTTTTTTGGTTGTTTGTTATTTAAGGTCCCTCTTGACAATTTTTCATGCACACGGAGAACGCTACCACTTGCCGATTTGGGCCTGCTAATGCCTATACTCGGCACTTGAATGGTCATTAAGCATTGATGGATTTTCGTGCAAACACTTTCTACCACACGAAACATCTGTTAATACCTTCTCATTTTTATCTTTATATCCTTCATTTACTTAGAAATGAATCAATATTTAATATTGCTGCCAGTTAGAGATACAAATAATATTTGAATTACTGACAAGGTATTAGGATTAATTTTAAGAAGTTGCTTTAATTATACGTATGTCTAACAAATCATAAATTTGAAACAATTACGAAACCAAAATAATTTCAGGTAATGAGAAAGAGCTTATCATAATATACATTGGAACAACATCAAAGCACACAATGATCTTCAACAATTATCCTTACTGAATCCCACACGTATCCTATTAATACCTGTATTTGTATCTAACACGTATCCTATTATTACCTGTATTTATGCAGAAAATGATTCACGTACTTTTTTCAGCTATCCCCTTAGATTGTAAGGATCTATATGAAGATGGCAAGGCTTGTTCTGGGGTGTATACCATCTATCCCTATGGAACCATTACCAGTCCTGTCCGTGTGTACTGCGACATGACAACCATGGGCGGGGGATGGACGGTATGTAGTTTATTTCAGATTTAGAAGCACATAACATTACTCACATTCCGGTTTTTTTTTTGTTGTTGTTGTTGTTTAAAGAGTTGTAGATTTTAATACTTAATATGAATAATTTAATTTCATTTGTATCAAGCAATCTCATTGGCTGAATCATTCAGAGGAACATATAATATTTTGGATAACATAACTTGCCTACGTCACAATAAGTTACGTCAAAAACGTATTACTCCGCTTGACGTTACTTTTAAATTATGCTTTATTTGAAGCCTTTTTTCCGGAGGAAAAATTGTCTCATTGTCTACACTGAAATTAAATTATAAGTAATGAAGATATTTTCAACTTATGTTATACGATATAACATAACTTGGGGCAGTTTACGCTTTTTTATAAACCGCTTCGCGGGAAAATAGCTTCATTCCTTAAATATTTTAGACTTTATCATAGTAAATCGTTCCTACGATTGTTCAAAACAGTGAATTATATTGCATTTGTTAATTTTTAAAGGCAATTCAAAAGCGAGTCACGGGAACCCTCAGTTTTGACAGGTACTGGACGGAATATAAAAATGGTTTCGGTTCTCCAGAACAAGACGTCTGGGTTGGTAAGTGTATAAAGTTTTAAATAGGGGCTTTCATCCACTTCAAAAAGACAGAATTTCTTCATTGTTGCAGATAAATAAATGGAAGCGTACCTAATATATTGTTTTTAAACTTGGTAATATTCTTTGCCAATTCACATGATCGTGTCCGTTATTTCCCGATCATGGCAAGGAGCACACGGTGGGTGCGACCGATAAGCAGGGGATTCTCACTCCTCCATGGCACCTGATCCCACCTCTGTTGTTTTAGAGGTTCGTGTTTGCTCTGCTCTGATTTTATATTGTTCATGGACTTTGATATTGAATACTGTTTGTTATCTCCATATCCTTCATTGAAATCTTAAATCAAAAAGACAGCAAAAGGATTAAATCGCTCGAGAGTCTTCGAAAGACATCATATTTAACATCAATATTTACGGCTTAAAATAATTTGAATTTTCAAAATTGAATATTTGCATTTAGAATAAAATTAGTTTATATTGCAATGAACTTAACACTTGATAGTTTTTACTATAATACAGGAAATGATTTAATACATCTGTTAACGAAAGGAAGCAGCTCGGCCCTGTATGTGTCCATCACTCTCCAGAATGGTACAACGCTGTATGCAATGTACGACGGATTCTCTGTCTCCAACGAAGCAGGGAAATATCAACTCTCTCTTGCAGGACCTGTCACGGGGACTTTAGGTAAGTGTATGCAACTTAATTTCTAAAATAAAAAAGATAAAAATCTCGTATCTTTTAATTCAAAGATTATTAAGTTATTGTATATTGAGTCAATAATACATTTTTTTCTCTAATATTCTGTAAACGTTTCTTGTTGATAAAACGTTTAAATATTTCACGATATCGTTTGTAGGTACAATTCACAATTTCCAAAGACATTTAATCAATCGCTGCTAGGTAGTTGAAATTTTTCCAAAAGCACAGAAGATCATGTTGTAAAATCAAATTTATTGATAACACAGACGCTACATGTATCTGTGGTCCGCCATTGTTATTCAGGTTGTTTTCTTGAAAGTTTTTCATGATAAACATTTTTATCTTCGATGGAATAAGACGTTTTCAGAGTGTTATCGATATGTCGACATGTTCATGAAAGCTTGATGTTAAAAAAATTGATTCAGAAGTTTTACACTTTTACAATATTAGTTTAGATTTTACTACTTTCCCATAATCCTCACAATGCCAAGGATTGTGATTTGTGTGGCGTTCGAGAAATCACAAACCCTTGGCATTGTGAGAGTACTTTCCCCGCAGTCACGCATTTTAACGCACATAACATTATTTTCTTATTTTTAACACAAGCTCACGTATGTACCATATCCCAGTAATCACACTTCTTTCAAAGAACAGCGAATCCTCAATTTAATGCAAATTCCTTTTTTTAAACTTGTTAAAATTTCATATAAAAAAGTTATCATTTAATTGAATACATTACATCGAAAGTATTAACACTCAGTTTTAAAAAAAAACAACCGAGCTATGAAGTGATTACGGTGAATTAAGCGTACATGTATGTTGCATCACAATTCAGTAAATTTTAAAGACCTTAATGAAAATCAAATATCTGAAAACAGTACATCATTTCTGAATGATTTCCTGCGTATCACATTTTATACATTTAACGGCACATCCTCTACTGTATCCTTTTTTCACATCAGTCGTCTTCATTTTCCAGTGACCCTTACAAAAGAATCATTTCCTTTTTTAGTCAAACATTAAAGTGAAACAAACAAAGGTTATTAATACATTAGAAAAGATTCTAAAGGAATAACATAATATATTGTTGTATTGTATTCTTAAGTAGATATTATCCCCTTTTCAGCACTTTAAGCCGTTTTTCTTAGAAGTATCTCAGTATTATGAATGTCAATTAGTTTGAAGAGATATAAATCACTTATTTCTGTGATTACAGGAGACAGTATGTTACACAGTGGTCATTATAACTGATAAATGTACTTTTCCACCCCAGACAGAGATAACGACAGGTATAGTGGATTACACTGTGCCGCTAGCTGGGGAGGAGGCTGGTGGTTTAATGCATGTCACAAGGCCTTCCTTAACGGTCAATGGTCCCCGGGGTACTGGGGCCCTCCATGGAATTACGCAGTAACGAGTGGGACATCAGTGAATGGGACAACCATGATGATCAGACGTCACTAGGTAAACATCACTAAATCTTGATAACCAGTTTTTTTCTGTTTGTATTACTGTGAAAATTTCAAATGGTTATAAGAGGTTTTTTCAAAGTTAAATATGTTATTATTTCTTTAAAACATTAATTTCATTCGTTTTTTTAACAGACGAAAGATCATCCATCAATGAGACGAATCCATTTTGATTCAAGAGACGGTTTTAAATTTAACATTTATCACGGTTTTTTTTTTGTTTTTTTTTTGGTAAGATTGTTTGACATCAAGTGAATAAACAAATATGTCTTCAAGGGATGAAGTATTATGTAAAGCAATAGATTATTGTAATTTTGTTCTACTGAATGTTTTCAGTAAAAGATGTACTTTATATGTGTTGTAATAAATTTGAATTTAGAAATATTTCGTTGTTATTCACACTAATTAATGAAGATATAAAGATTTAGATTACTTTATTTTCAAACATATGACGGTGGAACCTGTTTAAAACGACACATTTGCAATACATTTTACTGTGGTGTCCGCCATTCAATAAATGCCATGCAAGAGCAATGTCATAAGCGAAAATCAAATTTTGAAATCAACTAGAAAACTGACCAGTCAGCAAGGGCCCCGCCATAGGGTAGAATTAAAAGGGTGCAGCTTACGGAATGATTAAAAAATGTACGAAGAATAAGCAACAACAACTGTATTCTTAAAATTTCAAGATGATTCCTGAATATTATAAAACTTGAAATGATTTCCTTGTATTTACTTTAGGCAGTAAAGAACAATTTAACATTCATTTGAATGTATTAATCAATTATGAAGATTGTGTTATATAGACTGCCAGCCTTCAAATTCAATAAATGCAAATATCATGAAAGCTTGACCTTAACTTCAAACAAACAGCAGTTGCAGAGAAAGGTTTACATTAATCTTAAAGATAAAGAAAAGCCTACTAAATTTTCTGCAGCAGCCTATATAATTGTTCGCAAAGGATTAATTGTACCTCTCTCATCATTTTCTTCTAAAGTAACAACCATAGGCACATGGGGTATGGACCCCCCCCTTTCCATTTTTTTCTTTTTAAATCAGGATTCAAGTCATCTTTTTCCTCTTTTTCTATTCTAATATGCACTACATGTTATCAAAAATGCAACTCTTTTGTCTCTACAAGTTGTTTTTAAAAATGCTGTTTTCCACTGATACATATAAAGAGATCCAAATTGACTTAACTTCAAAACTAACTTCATTTGCAGACAGAGGTGGTAATTAATCTCAATGTGACAGATATAAAAGATAATACTCTGGATTTTCTTCAGGAGGAAACCTAATTAATCCCAAAGGACTCATAGCCAGCATTCATTATACAATGGGAACATCTTCAGCAGTTATCTCTCTTTGCCAATGCATTCTAAAGTTAAGGAATCTACCCCACCACCCCAGCTACAAACCAGGGGACATAGAGAACCAAACCTAGCATTGAAATATGTATTTCTGCCTACTGAACTACCATACCAAATTTGAACTTGATTGGGCAACCATAAAATAAAAGTTGCCCATTCATTCTTATGCATAGTTAAGGAATCTACCCCACCACCCCAGCTCCAAACCAGAAGACATTGAGAACCAAACTTAGCATCAAAATATGTATTTCTGCCTATTGAACTATCATACCAAATTTGAACTTGATTGGGCAACCATAAAAAAGTTATTAGAAAAAAGCAGAAAATTTGTGGACGGAAGACAGACAGACGGACAGACAGAGTGATAACTATAGGGCACCCGCAAATCCTTGCGGGGCCCTAATTAATGAATTGTTATTTAGGTTCGAGATAATTCAAGTAAATTAAAAAAGAAATCAAATTGCAAAACAAGACAAGGGAATAAGAAAAAGCAATGATTTATTTTTTTTTTGAAAGATGTTATCTTAAATCTGCATTTGTCTTTGCAAATAAAACTTATATAGCTAACATTAATCAAAATGTTTGCAATTACTTTGCAGTTATGAGACTTCATCTTTTAAAAGAATGATTCAATGCTTAAATAATGACAAAAATAAAAATCGATATGTTTATCAAGACCATTCATTCTATTTTATGCGATGCGTAGACTATGGTAATATATATCCCAAACTTTGATTGACTACAACTTGGACTTTGTTGTTAAACTAATAGAAAAAGTTTAAGAAGCTAATAATAAAAATTCAAGATAATTTATGAAAGAAGGATATGGAAATAACGAACAGTATTCAATCTCAACGTCCATAAAACAAATATACAAAACAAGAGCAGAGCAAACACGGACCTCCGAAACATCAGAGGTGGGATCAGGTGCCATGGAGGAGTGAGCATCCCCTGCCGACCGGTCACACCCGCCGTGTGCTCGTTGTCATAATCAGGAAATAACGGAAAAAATCCGTGGTCAATTCAGTGTGTAAATAATGGACTAACAATTAGTATGAAAGTAGTCAGCATTTGAATCGATGATTACTTGTATTCGCGGACAAAGTCATTGTATCGACCATAGAACTTACGTAATGATGACTTTAAATGAGACTGTTCATATTTTTGTTTCATCAACTTGCTTGACAATAATTTACCTCCATTTAGAAATTGTTCATACGTAGAGCATGCTCTTGCGTATTGAATAAACTGAGATATAAATACTCCGTATGCAGGTGATGAAGGTATATTGCTGCATAAGTAAGGGAAGTTGACGATAGAAAAGTTAAAGTCATCACGTTTATCATATAGCTTGAAACAAAGCAGCTTATGATGAATGTTGTCGTTTGCAGGTCAAACACCAAAGTCAAGAGAGAAATAAGTTTGTGTCATTTGGGTCTAATTTGTTAATTATAAAAAGGGGAGGGGGTGGTGATAAAACTTATTTACAAAGACTGAAAAATAACACATGGTTTCCGCTTGGTATTTTTCTAATGTTCTATATGAAGGATATGGTGAATTGTAAAGATACTTTTTTCTGCTTTGCTGGCGACAAGCTGTCTGCAGTGAATATTTCGATTTTTTTTTTACCTACGCTTAAGAGTTATTTATTTTTAAAAATTGGTAAGAATTGTTTACAATTTTTTTTTATCTTAGGAAGCTGATAATACAGGTTCAATTTAAACGGTGCATAAATTTAACACATTGTAACCGCTTTACAGTAGCTCTAAAATAGATAGTGGATTTTGCGAGGAGCGTTGACTTTTACAATTGCGGCTTACTTTTACACAAGGAAACTGTACGGAAGCTATTTTTTCCGATAAAATTACATGTATTTAACTTAACGACCCGACAATTATTGAGCGACAATAATCGATGGCCTAAATCGAAGGTTTCTGTAACGCATACATCTGTAGTAAGGATATGGAAATAACGAACAGTATTCAATCTCAACGTCCATTAAACAAATATACAAAACAAGAGCAGAGCAAACACGGACCTCCGAAACATCAGAGGTGGGATCAGGTGCCATGGAGGAGTGAGCATCCCCTGCTGACCTGTAGCTCTCTGCTTTATCTGTCCGAATTTTCTCAAGCAGAAAGCTATATTTCTTTAGCAAAGGAACGTTGCATGTCGGCTACAATCTTAAAAGATTTCTTGTCTTCCCGATTCTATTTTCACTTTGATAATTTAATTCTGGCCACAGGAAGAAACAAGACCTTTCAGTTAAAACTGAAAGGCGGCTTTCAGTAGCTTTTCAGTGGTCATTCAGCCACTGAATGGCACATACATTTCAGTGACCTTTCAATTGCCTTTCAGTCACATTTCAGATACCTTTCAGTCACCATTCAGTGGTCACATTTCCGTCAACTTTCAGTGGCCTTTCCATCAACTTTCAGTGACCTTTCCATCAACTTTCAGGGACCTTTCCATCAACTTTCAGGGACCTTTCCGTCGTCTTTCAGTGACTTTTCCGTCGACTTTCAGTGACCTTTCTGTCGTCTTTCAGTGACCATTCCGTCGACTTTCAGTGACCTTTCTGTCATCTTTCAGGGACCATTCCGCCACCTTTTAGTGATATTTAAGTCGCAATTTATCAATTCTTTCACTAGCGTATTATTAATAATCAGATATTTTTCTTTAACAAAGAAGCAATATTTTGAATAAAGATTTATTTTTCAATCGTAATTGTTTTTTTTTTACTTCGGGTACATTGAAATGTGTCTTAGTAATTATTATAATTTTATAAAATATTTGAGATTTATTAAAAATGATTTTTAATCTTCTAAATACATTTAGAAAACAAAAATTCTTCAAGAGATAAAAAATGATGATCCGATAACCGATTCAAAATTTAAATAAATGCATAACATTCTATAGTGCTTATACCTGTATTTTTTCATAGAAATATATAATTTTGATTGATGACACATAATTTATATTTTTTAAACCATCTCTGGAAGATCGCAAGGTTTACTGATCAATTTCGTTTCTTAATTTTGTCATTGTCAAAACTGCAGGAAATTTAGTTTTTGAAAAACATTATTTTAAATTCATTTTTAACTACAAGAATAAATAAATCGTTTATACATGACTTTTGTAGAAAAAAAAATTTAGTAGATTTTAGCTTTCTAAATGATATTGATTTAATAAAATCATTCTACAAAGTTTTTAGAAAGAGAATTTACAACGATCTTAAATCTTTGACACAGGAACAGATGCCCGTCCCTGATAATTGTCATCATCCCGATAGGAGATGAGTAATTAATTAGTCTGTCCCCAAAATCCGCGCAACTAACATAGAATATACAAAAGATATACAAGATATATACACATCGCAGCTCCTCGGTAAAACAGGTTAACTAATTGTTCCATCGATTTCTATAGATTAATTGATTTTAAAACCACTCTTCTTAATAAGAAGTTGTAGCGTAATCGATAAGGTCGCGGACACCTACCCAGAAGACCAGGGTTCGATTCTGGGCATGGGAGCAGTTTTTTTTTCTTGTATAAACTTTTTCCTATTTTTTTTTCCATTCGGAATTAGATACAATTAATGCTATTATACCAGGAAAAAGTGAAATAA